AATCCCAGGTTCTTCTTTGCCAGACCAGTCTTTGACTATCAGAGGGGTTTTCTGTCCTAGAGCAACACAGATAATTTGCACTACTGCGCAGCTAGCCAAGACCAACATGGAGCTAGACATGAGTTCTCCACCTCTTATGTTACTAAAATGAACATTCTTGATCAGCTACAGTCAAATTTTGCATCAAATACACAACTAGTTCTTTTTTTGAGTTCAATACCTTTCAAAGCACTGAAACTAGGTGAGGCAGTATAAGGGTTAGATTTTTAATGCTAAAAGATCGTTTGAGAAAAAAAAAATTGAAAAAATTAACACTAAATTTGCAAGAAGATGCAGCAACTCTCCAAAATGAGATAGTGAAGTTCTAGTTGACTTCACAAACTGCTCAGAAAAAAAGCCCACTTACTTCTTGTTTATACCAAAGTCACTAACACATGTGCTGTTGCTGTTTAGGTTGGTTTTGCTGTGTAGTCCAGAACAGCAACAACTTGTTATTGTCCAATTGCAACCATTACCCTTCTATTTTTTCCTTAGCTTTCAGAAAATAACACAGGGCGCTCCATGAGATAATTCTGAAAACTGTTACAGACGTGACCTACATAGATACCAACTGTCTGTGGGTTGCCACAGAAGGCTGGTATGGAAGCCTTCCTGTCCCGCTGCAGGAGCAGCCCGTCAGAGACAGCGTGCCACCTGGTGTGCACTTCTCACACGGCAGCTAGCAAAGCTACTGATCAAGACTGCTCAGTGGAATACGCATTTGCATAAGTGGTGCGTTTTGTAGTCTTGTGATGCATTTCATTAAATTCCCCAAAATTAATTCCAATCTGGATATTATAAAAAAGCCCCAAATTTCTCCTTTCTCACTACCAGCTCTTTGTTTCCTAACATTGGCGTAGCAAAGGGGAAAGTGATGAAAGAGAAAAATGGACCTGATTCATCCTATTGCTTACTTCAGAGAAAAATTTAAAAACTAGTGGAATCTAGAGTTCTGGAAAGCTTCTGACTTTCAAAAAAGATTAATTTCTCTAACAAAACAAAAGGTCTCAGACAATGTTTTGACCAGACCAAATAGCTGCCAACAAAGGGTGCTTTTGTGAGCTACTATTGAAACCAGATTATTTAACCATACTGCTCATCTCAATTACACCCAAACACATGCCAAACAACATTCAAGCAGCAGTAAGAAGTGTTTCGAGCCATTCCACTCTAGCAGGCCTTAGCAACAGCGCTTCCTTATCTTTCCTGGTACTAAGTTCTAAAATAAGAGTGAATCAGTTTCAACTTTCCACCACTATCACGTGTCCTCCTGTTGCCAGGTGCTAGAAGAACGTTTCATAGCCCTACCTTCAGCAATCAGCAGCATAAGTTCAGTAGCCAGAGCTAGAAGGATGCACAGTGAGGTGTAGAAAAATTTTAGTTTGACAGTATCAAAGGCTAACAAAAGCAATGATGTGGCTGGGTTCCCAGCATTTCAGATGAGAGATTAAAGAACAACAGTTCCTCAGAAAACCAGGATTTAGAGCACATTCACTAGAGAATGTATGTCAATAGTGCTTCATCTTTTAATAAAGAAAAAGGTTAACAAACACTGTGCTAGCATAGCAAAAGCTTAGCAAGAAAACTTGAGCATATTTATGTCACTTACTTGATCCAGAAACATGCCAGTCTTTACATTCCCTGATTGCTATGTTGTTGTCTAGACTTATTTTAATTCTTCCACTATGTGCTTTGTTATCAAACACTATCTGTACTGACAAAAAAAAAGAGTAGTTAATGTCTTTTCAAGTTAAACCATTACATATGTAGCACACTGTACTGCTAAGCCTACATAATGATTCAGAATAATTACAAAACTTGTTTAAACTCAAGGTAATTCAAGTTTACTCAAATAAATTATGTCAAAGTGAAAGGCAAATCAGATGAATCACTTATTTGCCACAAATTGCTTGATCAGCTAGATAGTAGGTGAAATTCTTTTAAGCTACAGCCTTATTCCTCTATGATGTGAAAACAACCTTTCTTAGAAGCATCTCTCTAAAGGGAAGAGGTTTACATTTTTGTTATACTTCAGATGGATTAGAGCACAAAAGGCTGTAAGCCAGGGAAGTGCTTCAGGAGCACATCACAAGCACTTAAAGCTTAATCTCCCAAAAGTCACAACTGGGGGTTAATTACAGGGTACACTAAGACATGACAGAATAATCCAGACACCACTGCGGACCAGGCAGCGGTGCCCAACACTCTGCAGAAAGACACAGAGCCACCTTCCACATACCGCCAGAGTGAAATCGTAACAGTCAGGGAGCTCCTGGTGACGAACGGTCTGGAGGTTGATTGCCTTCAGGTTGAACAGGAGCTGCACCGTCACCAGTCTGCAACAGAGCTCTGTATTAGCTTTTCATGGGGAAAATGCACAGGTAAGCCAATAAAGGAGATGCTGATTCATCCTCACCTGTGGAAGTCCAGACTGAAATTCAAGTTGTGCTTTCCCACTGTTGTGTTGTCTAAGGGGGTCATTGGCTGAATGTACAAGCAGTCTGCAATAGACAAGTACTCACAATATCTCATGGGTCACCGCGCTCTTTAACTGTAATCTGCCTTTCCCACCCCGGGGGCTGGAAAGAACTGTTGGCTACACTAGGCAAGATAGCACGCCTAAGTGAGGAGTCACTCAGGAAGTTAACCAACAAATATATTGGCCTCCCCGAGCCAGCCAGTTACTCATCATGAAATCATAGGGAACGCTCCTGAAATTAGCCCAAAATACTTGTTATGGTCATCAATGCTAACAACTCATCACTTGTTTTGTGGCAGTAGACATAAAGAACAGTTACCCTGGAGGTGGGGGCTAGACATTAGTTACACAGTGTTTTTCTTGCCACTGGTAGTAAAATTCAAGATAAAACATTTGATAGGACTATACAGTACTAGATGTTTATAAGAATTCATCTTAGATGTAGTGTCCCTCCTCCCAAAGAACTGATAGAAGAGATCAGGTTCATGACCTGTCACAATCTCTGGATCTATATCAAAGGTGTCATTTCCAGGACAAATGGTTCCTCGTTTGTAGAACTGCTGACACAGGGATAGAGCTGTCTTTTCTGCTCCCCTCTTCTCATAAGCATGGTTTCCAACAGAAATATTGGGCAGCTGTAAGTACTAAAGTTCAGAACACACAGACAAACCAAATTAGATGCCATCAAAATTGTTAGTCTCTAAAAAAAAAAAAAAATGAGAAGTGTTTGGACCTGTGCCATAATCCATCTTTTTTATTTCAAAGGTCACCTAAAGAACTGGGAAACCGACACCGCACTACGGCTGAGTCCTCAACTACTTTATTTGTCAAAAACAACCAAGTGCAGGATTTGGATTTAAATACCTTTTTGCTTATTTTTTTTCTCTTTACAATCCTTACTAGAAAATCTGTTATTTGCAAAGTACTCTTGTCTCAAATCCAAGGCCTGCATTTAGTACAGAATTGGTATCTTGATTAGCTTGAAGGATGTTACCCCAAGTACAATCCTCTGGCAGTGACAGAAAACCTGAATGAGTCAACCTTTTAGACTTAAGCAACTGGCACAGAAGTTCAATTTCAGACACTATCTGGGAAGGTGGAAGAACAAAAGGTAGCTAGATAAAGAGCATATGCATTGTATACCTTGCAGTGACGATCCTTACCTGGTTTATTGCAAAGAATATCTGGTCATAGACATCTGTTTGTGTGTATACAGCATAGGTATCATCCATTCCGTCCATGTATCCTTTCAAGAAGAGATGTTTGAATGCAACAGTGTTCTCCTCTTTGAAGGCAACCACCATTTGATTGCTCAATCCAAAAACCACCAGCTGAAAAAGATGTTTATGTTTCCTGTTCAAAGACAAAGTTGGCTTCTTGATTTACATGTGAATCCTGTCCTACCATCACTCCTTCATCACACTGGTAGAAACAGCAACTCCATTTCAAGGCTGGTCAAAAGAAAGTTTTACTCTAGGAAACAAAGAGTTTCAGGAATGTTCCTTTAACATGTTTACCAGCACCTGGCCAAGGACTTGCATTTTTACAAAGAAAAGGACGCCACCTCAAACTCAAGCTACCCATATACTGTTACGCGTGCTTTGTTAGTTCAGCCTGACATCAATAGGACTTGCCTTCGGGAATATTAGTGTACCTCAGCCAAAAAAGGCAGGACAGGTCTTAACCAGACTCCACTTTGTAGTCCTTACTCCAGTGCTGAAAAGGCAAACTGAGGACAGCTCATAAAAACAAACATCCATCACTCAGGTTTGGGTGAAAGGTACTTTAAGAATAACTGATCGAAACTGTACTTGTAACAGGATAACAACTGAAGCTGTTAAAAAATATATTGCAATTGTTCACAAAAAGTTAGCATAACACCCTGCTAGCTACTATCCAGGCTGGAAAAGATTTCTAGAAGAATGTGATATATTGTTTGTGGGTGCTCACAATTCTCTTCAGCGACTATTGTTTCAAATCTAGTGTCAGGAGTATTGTGAAGAAACTCATCAGAGATAAGTCTGAATCAGGAGTCTACGGATTAGTTTTACAGCCATAATGCAAACCAGATATGTAGGTTTTGAAAAGGATAACTCATTACAGAGATACTAAAATGCTCTGTGGGCAAGCTCAACATGCTAGACTCACAGGAATACACCAGCAAATCAACAGTGCTAAGACCCAATTACTTACTGGCACATTTTCTCTGAACAGACTAAATCAGCATTAGTTTGTTTCTTATTTAGGTTCTCCCACCACCAAGTCTTATTTTTAATTGTAAGCTGGGACAAATGACAATCAGAGGATGATGATACATTGCAAACTAAAGCAGTAAGTAAGGGACATAAGCATACAGACAGTTGTATAGCGAAATAATTATTATTCATGCAGTTTATCCCATAATTCCTGCAACCATAGAAAGTATTCTTCTCCATACTTGTATTGTCATAGCACTGACACCACCATAAATGTAAATGGTGGCAACTCTGACGGATCATCATCTGAGGCATCAGGAAGATTTTATGAAAGACCTTCTTCCTCCATAACCACAGAACTTTGAGACAAACAGTTGCATTTAATGTTTTATATGAAACCTATGGTGCAAGGCTGGTGAGAGGAAGAGTGGAGCAAAACAACTGTTTTTTTCAATACAAGAGTTTGTATACCACATGCAAGGCATAAACAAACAGCATATAAAAAGCTACTCATGTCAGTTCTTATCACTGTGATATAGAAACACAAATGACTGTTCCCTCCCTCAAGCACAAACACACTCAGACTGAAGAAGGTATGGGGAGAACAGATGTGTAAGGATGCTATCCTTGGGGGGGGGAGCCGAGAAGAAAAAAAAGGAAAATGAAAAGCCTTTAAACATGGTTCCTTTCATCTCTGCTCTTAGCAAAGCTATCTTTCAGTCAATGGCTTTATGAGAAAATTACACCATCCGAGATCTAAATTACATATATGCAACCAAGATAGTTTTGTAGCCTATCCTCTCCCCGTCTCTGCACCACACCAAGAACAGCATTTGTCACCTGCACTCCTTATTTGAATTCTCACGGGCTACTAAGAGTCCCTGCTTCCCTAGTTACTCACCTGAATAGTAACCATTGCTATTTTGAGTAGCTGAATCCCAAGTTTCCAAGGTTTCCTGCCCCGGGCCCAGAATTTCTCACATGGGTTCATGAAGAAAAATTTTAACTTCCTTGTAAGCTGGTCTTCCAAAAGCCCCTCCTGTGATGCTGACAGGTGTCGTCTGTAGCTGCAAAGGTTTTCATCATCGTGAACATTGCAGTTGCTCACAGGCACTTCAGGATCTTCCATTTCTGAAATTAAAAGTAATCCATGTCAGTTGGAAAACATGCCAGCATGAACACAGTAGCATCAGATCAGTCTACACTGACAACCTGGACTCTAAAGATGTTTACCTCCTGCAAAAGCCACTTGCACATGACACTGAATTTAAGACCTTCCTCGTAATACTCCACGTTCTACAGAACCCAATGAATAGTTTGGGCAAGCTCTTAAATTTACTGATAGGTTGCTTAGATGTTTATTTATAGACATTTATTTAATAGTGGAATTTCTGTCCCTTTAGAATTATGGAGCTCCTTGCTGAAAAATTCTTCCTATCTCACTTGCAAATAACATCATACAGACAAGACATCCTGACTCATTTCCTTCTGTATCCAGAAGACTACCGAAAGCCTCTCATGCCTGAACTCTTCTGAAAAACTTATCTACTTCTGCAGCTTATTTTCCCCCGCTGTCAGCCTGCTGTCCAGTCCTTGAAAGAAATGGAATTTTTCAAGACAGACACCATTTTTCTTAGTATTGCTATCATTTGCTCTTAGAAATGGAGACCCAACGTAGCAAACTCCAAGTCATATAAATTATCTGAGCACATTAATCTGTTATTTAGCAAAACTGTATCTATTTCTTCAGCCATAAAAGACTAAATGCAAACCAATGGTAGTCATGAAGCAGACAAAAAGACCAAAATGTCACAAGCACTGTGATTAGCAGAAGAGGCTCACATTTTAGATGAGCATGAGGGGAAAGATTAGAAGAGCCCCTTACAAACAGAGTTTGAGATGTTACTCTCAACAGTATTTAACACGTCCATCTGTTACTAACTTCACGGACTCCCAAACATTTTATAAATGCTTTATAAAGTACTTCAGAGATAGCCAGGAATATTTACTTTAGATAGAAGATTATTGACATTAAGAATGGCGGAGACAGCCTCCATCATGAATAAACTTGAAGATGTGTCGTATCAGCCAAATTATTTTTAATTTGCATGTTTCTTACATAACTCATAAAAATCATTACCAAGATTACTTTTTTTTAAATGCATCGATCACATTCCTTAAGCAGCCACTGCACACACCAGAACACAAGCCTGTTTTCTAATATGATTCAAAACGGTCAGTTTCCCCAGGGGTCAGAGAGGGCAAGAAAAGTTTGGAATCAGCAGTTCAACACTAGGAACGGGCCCATAAATAGGCTTAAAAAAAAACAGCTCCTGCTGTATCAGCCCTCCAGTGTCCCGTAGGATACAGTATGCCACAGTTTGCACTTATCTTTCTTACACCTGATCAGTCATCTCTAAATTCAGCTCTACTCTCATACTGCAGTATTCCTGTCAATGTATGTGCTTGATTTATAAATAAATAAAAGAAACCTTTCTTGACCTCGCGGTATCGGCTGTACAAGTTCCAGAGAAACACCACGCAGAGGGTGTATTTTTCTAGTTAAGCAGCGCGGGCTCCACACGCAACGGGAGGGGGTCGCA